CCGCTGACGTGCGTGCCCAGCGCACCCTGCTGCCCTGCGCGCCCTGTGCGCCCCGTTGCCCTTCTTCCGCACGCGCTGCCCCGCTGCCCTACGCGCCCCGCTGCCCTGCGCGTCACTACACCGGACGCCCCGCTGTTCTGCGCGCTACTGCACCGGGCACCCCGTTGCCCTGCGCGCCCTGCTGCCCAGCACGCCCTGCTGCCTAGCACGCCCTGCTGCCTAGCGTGCCCCGCTGCCCTGCTTGCCGCTGCACCGCGCGCCCTGCTGCCCTGCGCGCCCAGTGTGCCCCGCTGCCCTGCACGCCCCACTGCCCTGCGCGCCCAGCTGCCCTGCTGCCGCGCGTGCTGCCCTGCCTTACCGCACGCGCTGCCCTGCCACTGCGTGCTGCCTTTCTGCCACGCCGTGCTGCCTACTGCTGCGCTGTGCCATGCTACCGCTCAGTCTGCTCCCGAGATTCTCACATACTGCCGTGCTGTTCGTTCTCCCACTGCGCTTGAACTGCCGCTGGTGCCTAGATCTACAAGCTACTTCCTAGTACTGAAGCTTGACCTAGTTCCTGTCATGGCCACTATCACTGTCATAGCGGTTGACGCAGATGAGCGCCCTCTCAAGTTTGAGTCGTGGCTTGAGTGCCTGCACATGTATCTCCAACGCTTCATTCTGGATGGCGCCTCCCTGTTCGAGCACACGTTGGGGTCCCTTCAACCCCCCACAACTCCAACTGAGCTTGCTGCTAACGCTGGGGATGAAGTGCCGCGGCGGTACTGGGTGGACCGCATTGCCTACACACGATGGACGGCACGCGACTCTGTCGGCCAGCTTGCTGCCCACGCTCACCTATCTCTCGCCCAGAGGCCCCATTTTCGCCAGGTGACATCGGCCCAGACTTTCTACGACGCTGTGGTTAAGCACTACTCCTCCATCTCTCATGCCACCCTAGGCCATCTTGCACTGCCGTTTCTCCTCCCCGACCTGTCGTCGCTACCGTGTGGGGGTGGAGATTCTGGGGGTGGGCAACAGTAGCAGCAACAGTGGTAGAATCTGTTGCTTTGGGAGCAGCAGCGGCTGACCTCACTACCCTGTGTTGAGAAGGCGAGTATAGGTGCTTGTGAGTCTACTAGCTCATGTGCGGTTCCTGCAGAGGCTTTACACACCTTCACGATGGAATCAGACGTGACTCGGTGCTTCTTCCGCGGCTGCACCACAGTCACACCGCTCACAGCACCTGCCCCTGTCACCCTGGCCGACCCCTCTTCTGGCCTAGTCGTTGCACACGGCTCCACTGTTCTCCCGTGTCCGGCAGCCCCCTCCGGCTACCTCACAGGTCTCCACCTCTCGTCGTTCGCTACGAACTTGGTAAGTACCTCTGTCCTCCAGGATATGTTGGTCACTACCACCACTCCTGGGGGCGAGCTCGTGGCGATCTGTACGGACACAGTGACTGGCGACCACCTCGCCACGTTCACTTGGAGGCCTAGGTCTGGCCTATACACACTGCACACTGAGTCTGCACATGTGACTGCGTCTGGTCAGGTAGCTGTGTCTTCCTTGTGTCGGTTGCTCACGCATCCGTCTCTCCTCTGGCACCACCGTGTTGGTCACCCCTCCCTGCTGCGCCTCCGCAGCATGCACTCCCGTCTCCTTGTCTCTGGACTCCTCTGGTCTCTGCCCCCACTTCCGCGCTGTGCACTCCGTGCATCGAGGGGCGGCAGCACGTTGCTCCTCACTCCTCCTCGTTTCCTCCGACCACTGCTCCTCTACAGACGCTGCACATGGACGTGTGGGGCCCTTCCCCCGTCTCTGGGCCACACTAGGAGCGCTACTTTCTGCCGGTCGTTGACGACTTCACGCGCTACACCACTGATTTTCCCTTGCAGCGCAAGGAAGACAGCTGTGCTATTTTGAACCCTTGAATCCGCGCTGCTTGTCGCCACCTGAGCGCACGGTTCCGCCACGACCTCCTGGTGCTCCGTCTGCACTCTGAGCGTAGAGGTGGGTTTTTCTTCTGTCTCCTTGAGGAATTTTATCATGAGGAGGGCATCGTTCATTCGTTCACGCTTCCGGCCTCTCCACAGCAGAATGGGATCGCTGAGCGCCATATTGGCTTGATCATGGAGGTTGCTCGCACCTCCATGATCCATGCGGCTGCTCCCCCTTTCTTGCGGTCGTTTGCGGTTCGATACGCGGCGCATCAACTCAACCTCTGGCCCCGTGTCTCTTAGCCGGATACCTTAGCCTACCCTACTTTTGACAGGGGAGGTTGGCGATGCGTTGACGTTTCGGGTATGGGGTTCGCTTGCCATTGTCCGCAATTATACCGCGGGCAAGCTCTCCCCTTGCACCATTCGCTGCGTCTTCCTTGGCTTTCCTGGCGACGCGCCTGACTGACAGTTTTACCACCCTATCACGATTCGCGTCCTTTCCTCCCGAGACGTGACCTTTGACAAGTCGGCCTGCTCCTACCGTCTCTTCCCCCACCGTATTTCCCAGGTGCCCCCCCCCCACCCCTCCTCCTGGTTCCAGGTTACCCCCCGGTAGACCCTCTCCCCCCCCCCTTCGCATCCTGCTCCCTCAGATGTGTCTCATGTCGTACCACCCCCCCTTGGTTGAGCCTGTGGAGGTCTCCTCAGACCCCGCTTGCCCGGCTAGGAGGGTGACCCTACTGCTGACGAGACGGCGGTCTCTCGCCCTTCTCTGCGCTTTAAGACACCTCTTGGTTTTCGGCCTTGGCCGTCTTCGCCACCTTTGCAGCCTGTCGCTGTGGACTCTGGTGCGGTTGGGGGTGGTGATGCTGGAGGTGAGGGCTCTGAGGGTGGTGACTCCGGAGGTGCTGGTTGTGGGGGTGCTGCTTCTGGGCATGTTGGTTCTGGGGGTGAGCGTTGTAGTGGTGGTGGAGCCGAGGGTACTACTGCTGTTGGCACTGCGGGTGCGTTGCACCCTCTGCCGCGACGGCCCTTATTCTGGGAGCAGCAGCAGTCGTCGCTGCCACTTCCTGGGTCCGTTGGTGGAGGTTCTGAGGGTGCTGAAGCTGGAGGTGCGGGAGGTTCTGGTGCTGGAGGTGCTCGAGCTGGAGGTGCTGGTAGTTATGGTGCTGGAGGTCTGGAGGTGGAAGTGCTGGTGGTTCTGGTGCTGGAGGTCTGGAGGTGGAGGTGGAGGTGATGGTGATTCTGGTGCTGGAGGCTCTAGAGCTGGAGGTTCTGGGGGTGCTGCTCAGCCGCGGCTGCGGCTGCATGCGGGAGACGGGTACAAATAGTCAACCATAACCTAGGCTACCCAGTGTAACAGCATAGTGTAACAGATACGATACAGTTTGACAAAATCTTCCGATACGACATTCCTTTGCTTAGACTATTGAAGTACTGAATTGTAACAATAAAAAAAAAATGATCTCAACAAGAAAAAAATGTCTATTGTACAAGTATGTCAAAACTTCACAACTCGTGGAGCAGGAAATGTACAAGTCCACGAACTACAGCCTCCCCTACCACCCCTCCAGCCACAGTTCCACTCCAGAAGTGCGGCCTATCAAAGCACGAGTAATGCCGGTCTTCATAGCAATTGTCCAAATACCGAGGCGCCTCAATCCTCCATCCGTCAAAAACCGGCACTGACGGCACCGACAGGTGGGACAGGGATTGGGAACTCTTTCCAGCAGCCACATGGCGCATCAACCGATTGAGTTCCATGAGCGCCAGGTTGGTGGAGGGGCCGACAGACACGCTGCTGTAATGCATGCAATGCATGCCTGCATTGGGCACCGGCGTCGCCGTCCGTAGCACCAGCGGCTTGCCGTTTTGGGCGGCAAACTGCAACCCCCAGTTGAGGAACTCTGGGAGGTGAGCTCGGAAGGCTTGGACTGGCTCTGCGCAGTACCTATCCGTCCAAGCGCCGGCGTTCATGATGGTGACGTCGGCTGTACGAGAGAGGACGGCTGGGAATGCGTCGGTGCGTTTGCTGGCCTTGCCTCTGTCGCTGTTGGGGTGTTGCAGAATGAAGGGAAGGTCATGGAAAGGGCGGAAAGGAGATGGTGGTGGGATATGATGGTGTTCTGAGGGGTGTAGTTGCCTCTTTGCCTGGTCAGGTATTTGCGAAAGGGGCTTGGGAAAAGAAAGGGCGGTAGGTGAAGGGAAAGACGGGGGGGATGGGGGGGGAAATGGAGGGGGCGGGGGGAAGGAGAGGGATGGGGGGGGCAGATGTAGGAATGGAAAGGCTGTTAGCATTTCTTCCTGGCAATGCATGTTGTCAGCGCAGTCAGTGAAGTCAGGTGTGGTGAATGTGGTGTTAAAATGCTGTGCTGTGATGCAGGGACAGATAAGGAATGACCAAAGGGTTCAGCGGGGGGAGACGAATTAGGGGCTAAGGAGAAGGTTGAGATGGCATTAATCCACCGCCACACTCACTCCACCGCCACACTCACTCCACCGCCACACTCACTCCACCGCCACACTCACTCCACCGCCACACTCACTCCACCGCCACACTCACTCCACCGCCACACTCACTCCACCGCCACAATCACTCCACCGCCACACTCACTCCACCGCCACACTCACTCCACCGCCACACTCACTCCACCGCCACACTCACTCCACCGCCACACTCACTCCACCGCCACACTCACTCCACCGCCACACTCACTCCATCGCTACACTCACTCCACCGCCACACTCACTCCACCGCCACACTCACTCCACCGCCACACTCACTCCACCGCCACACTCACTCCATCGCCACACTCACTCCATCGCAACACTCACTCCACTGCCACACTTGCTCCACTGCCACACTCACTCCAATGCCACACTCACTCCACCGCCACACTCACTCCACCGCCACACTCACTCCGCCGCCACTTACCCACCGCCACACTCACCCACCGTCACACTCACCCACCGCTACACTCACCCACCGCCACACCACACTCACCCACCGCCACACCCACCGCCACACTCACCCACCACCACACTCACCCACAACAACACCCCTCCACCGCCACACACTCACCCACAACCAAACTCCCCATTGCGGAAGATCCCATCGACCCAATAATAGTTGATTCGGAACGCCTCCTGGTTTGCGTTGCGGGAGTGGAAGGTGTAGTTGAAGCGCGGATCGGGCAGCACGTCCCCTGTGCTCCCCGACAGCAGGAAGTGCAGGTGGTTTGACAGCACTCGCTGGTGCAAGTCCCCCACTATGTTGATCTCCTCAATGCCCTTGCGCCGTAGATCCGAGATCCAATGGCTGGGAGGCGATAATGGTGGTGCGCAGGGGAAGAAAGTCCAGCTGGAGGGGAGGGGTTGAAAGGGAAGGGGAGGGAATGGCGGGGAAGGGTGGAGGGGAGATGGCCGAGGGGAGATGGTGGAGCGGAGGAGTGGAGGGGAGATGAGTGAAAGAGATACAGGAGGGAGAATGGCCCTTGTGTGCATGGGACAGGACGGGAATAAACAGGTCTTTGGACATGGGATGTCACACAAGTGGGGATGACTCTGTCAATTTCAGCCTAAACTAACTGTCAGAATACCTGCACTGTGGATCCCCGATTGATCCTAGAGAAAGGTTACATGCGCGTTCGCCTGGACACACGGATTCGTTGCTTAAAAAACCCTTTTATCCCAGTGGTCTAGTGGCTGGGATTCGGAGAGAGACGTGTACGGTTTGGCGCTTATACGCTAAATGCTGGATGCTCCTATACATGCTGCTCGTGATTCGCAATTTCGGCACAAGGAATTTCAACGGTAGCTGCAACGAGAGCTAGGCTAGGCGAGAGGATTAGAAATGTGTGAGAAGCAGACACGAGTGCTGTAGGTTGTGTGTAACGATTGTGTGTAACGAGGGAATGCGGTAAGGTGCGGTTCGGGGTGGTCCAACAGTTGGGAGAATTGAGCAATGTGAATGTCGAGTTGGATTTTGCTTGCGCAATCAGGCCATTGTCTATGCCAGATTTAGGTAACCATTAGATTTAGCCTAATTGCCTTCTCCCCTTTTCCCTCCTCCGCTAAGCGACTTTCTTTCCCCTGCCCAGAGAAAAGTCGTTTGCTGCCCGAGCAAGTGTATGTCCTGTGTATATAGGCTGGACAGAACAGCATCTAACGTGTATACTCTAGTGTCTGTACGCTGGTGTTATATACGAGGGACGCGTATATGTCCACTATTATCCAGCATCACTGGGTTACTGCGGGTGAAAAGGGTTGAGACAGCAGGTGAGCTGTGGTGACAGCAGGTGAGCTGTGGTGACAGCAGGTGAGATGGGGCGACAGCGGGTGGGATGGGATGACAGCAGATGAGCTGTGGTTACAGTAGGTGAGATGGGGAACACTCACGTGTACTTGCCACTGCTGTCCTTCTTCCAACGACCAGGGACGGATCCTGGTGTGCAGGGTGTGGCTAAGATGTCGGGGAAGGTAGTATCTGGGGAGGTTGTATTTGCGGAGGCTGTAGCTGACGTCATGGCATCGAATCCCCCAGCCTCCATGTCAGCAGCGCCATCACGAGCATCGTTACCAGCTGCGCTGACAGATGCAGGAACGTTCCCGGAAGCTGATTTCTCAGGCCAGCCAATTGAGAGGTTCCACGTGGCAAGGTCATGGCGGAAGGTGGAACTGAAATGGGCGGCAAAGTCAGGCGAGAAGTTGAGATTGGAACAACCCACGGTGAGGGTGGCGCTGGAATGGGGAGAGCAGGCGGGTGAGGGGGGTGGCAGAGCGACTGTGAGGGGGTGAGTGGGAAGGGTGAGTAGGACCGGGTGGTGAAGGCTACAAATGAGGAGGCAAAAAGGTGAGAGCACTGGCGAGAGTTGCACTGGAATGGGGAGAGCAGGCGGGTGAGGTGGAGGGTAACAGAGTGTTGCAATGCGGGGGTGAGTGCAAAAGCGTGAGACGGAAAGGTGAGTGCGGAAGCGTGAGAATGAAAGGTTGAGTGTGAAAGGGAAGGCTGAGTGTAAAAGAGTCAAGTATGAAAGGGTGAGTATGAAAGGGTGAGTATGAAAGGGTGAGTGGGAAAGGTTGAGTGAGAAAGGATGAGAGAGAAAGAGTGAGTACCAAATATTGAGTGGGAAAACGTAAGTGGGACAGCGTGATTGGGAAAGGTTGAGTGGGAAAGGGTGGAAAACAGCAGCACTGAAGTGGTCAGAAAGGAGGAGATTATCACAGTCTGTGTGCAACATGACACAGTAGTCAAACAGGGGGACAGACAGTAAACACGTGAGCGAGTGAGTGGGAAAGCGTGAGTGGAAAAGCGTGAGTGAGAAAGCGTGAGTGGGAAAGCGTGAGTGGGAAAGCGTGAGGGGGAAAGCGTGAGGGGGAAAGCGTGAGTGGGAAAGCGTGAGTGGGAAAGCGTGAGTGGGAAAGCGTGAGTGGGAAAGCGTGAGTGGGAAAGCGTGAGTGGGAAAGCGTGAGTGGGAAAGCGTGAGTGGGAAAGCGTGAGTGGGAAAGCGCGAGTGGGAAAGCGCGAGTGGGAAAGCGTGAGTGGGAAAGCGTGTGAGTGGGAAAGCGTGTGAGTGGGAAAGCGTGTGAGTGGGAAAGCGTGAGTGGGAAAGCGTGAGTGAGAAAGCGTGAGTGGGAAAGCGTGAGGGGGAAAGCGTGAGTGGGAAAGCGCGAGTGGGAAAGCGTGAGTGGGAAAGCGTGAGAGTGGGAAAGCGTGTGAGTGGGAAAGCGTGTGAGTGGGAAAGCGTGAGTGGGAAAGCGTGAGTGGGAAAGCGTGAGTGGGAAAGCGTGAGTGGGAAAGCGTGAGTGGGAAAGCGTGAGTGGGAAAGCGTGAGTGGGAAAGCGTGAGTGGAAAAGCGTGAGTGGGAAAGCGTGAGTGGAAAAGCGTGAGTGGGAAAGCGTGAGTGGGAAAGCGTGAGTGGGAAAGCGTGAGTGAGAAAGCGTGAGGGGGAAAGCGTGAGTGGGAAAGCGTGAGTGGGAAAGCGTGAGGGGGAAAGCGTGAGGGGGAAAGCGTGAGTGGGAAAGCGTGAGTGGGAAAGCGTGAGTGGGAAAGCGTGAGTGGGAAAGCGTGAGTGGGAAAGCGTGAGTGGGAAAGCGTGAGTGGGAAAGCGTGAGTGGGAAAGCGTGAGTGGGAAAGCGCGAGTGGGAAAGCGCGAGTGGGAAAGCGTGAGTGGGAAAGCGTGTGAGTGGGAAAGCGTGTGAGTGGGAAAGCGTGTGAGTGGGAAAGCGTGAGTGGGAAAGCGTGAGTGAGAAAGCGTGAGTGGGAAAGCGTGAGGGGGAAAGCGTGAGTGGGAAAGCGCGAGTGGGAAAGCGTGAGTGGGAAAGCGTGAGTGGAAAAGCGTGAGTGGGAAAGCGTGAGTGGAAAAGCGTGAGTGGGAAAGCGTGAGTGGGAAAGCGTGAGTGGGAAAGCGTGAGTGGGAAAGCGTGAGTGGGAAAGCGTGAGTGGAAAAGCGTGAGGGGGAAAGCGTGAGTGGGAAAGCGTGAGTGGGAAAGCGTGAGTGGGAAAGCGTGAGTGGGAAAGCGTGAGTGGGAAAGCGTGAGTGGGAAAGCGTGAGTGGGAAAGCGTGAGTGGGAAAGCGTGAGTGGGAAAGCGTGAGTGGGAAAGCGTGAGTGGGAAAGCGTGAGTGGGAAAGCGTGAGTGGGAAAGCGTGAGTGGAAAAGCGTGAGTGGGAAAGCGTGAGTGGAAAAGCGTGAGTGGGAAAGCGTGAGTGGGAAAGCGTGAGTGAGAAAGCGTGAGTGGGAAAGCGTGAGGGGGAAAGCGTGAGTGGGAAAGCGTGAGTGGGAAAGCGTGAGTGGGAAAGCGTGAGGGGGAAAGCGTGAGTGGGAAAGCGTGAGTGGGAAAGCGTGAGTGGGAAAGCGTGAGTGGGAAAGCGTGAGTGGGAAAGCGTGAGTGGGAAAGCGTGAGTGGGAAAGCGTGAGTGGGAAAGCGTAAGTGGGAAAGCGTGAGTGGGAAAGCGTGAGTGGGAAAGCGCGAGTGGGAAAGCGCGAGTGGGAAAGCGTGAGTGGGAAAGCGTGTGAGTGGGAAAGCGTGTGAGTGGGAAAGCGTGTGAGTGGGAAAGCGTGAGTGGGAAAGCGTGAGTGAGAAAGCGTGAGTGGGAAAGCGTGAGGGGGAAAGCGTGAGTGGGAAAGCGCGAGTGGGAAAGCGTGAGTGGGAAAGCGTGAGTGGAAAAGCGTGAGTGGGAAAGCGTGAGTGGAAAAGCGTGAGTGGGAAAGCGTGAGTGGGAAAGCGTGAGTGAGAAAGCGTGATTGGGAAAGCGTGAGGGGGAAAGCGTGAGTGGGAAAGCGTGAGTGGGAAAGCGCGAGTGGGAAAGCGCGAGTGGGAAAGCGTGAGTGGGAAAGCGTGTGAGTGGGAAAGCGTGTGAGTGGGAAAGCGTGTGAGTGGGAAAGCGTGTGAGTGGGAAAGCGTGTGAGTGGGAAAGCATGTGAGTGGGAAAGCGTGTGAGTGGGAAAGCGTGTGAGTGGGAAAGCGTGTGAGTGGGAAAGCGTGTGAGTGGGAAAGGCCACTATTGGAGTGGCGAGAAGGTAAGAGTATCTCAGTCCACGTGCAAAATGGCAGAGACCAAAAGGGAGAAGGTCGTAGAGGTGAAAATGTAGGGGATAAGAGACAGACCCCGCGTGCAGCGAGCATACCTGTGATCCCCTGCAACGAGCCCACGTACCTGTAATTCCCCATGTCCCTCCGCCCTTCCACGCTACAATTCCCCACTCCTGTACCCTCCCATGCGCTCGCAACTCCCCACCCCTGCGCCTTCCCACATGCCTGTATTTTCTCACTCCTGCACCCTCCCACGTACCTGTAGGTCCCCACGTCCCAGAGGCGGTAGGAGATGAGGTAGTGCGAGCAGGCAGGGGGGTCAACGCATTGCACGTCCCCGTTGCCCAACGCCGGGCCCTCCAGAATCAGAGTCAGGTCGTTCTTCAACCAACTGCTCTCATGGCTGGGTCTAATGCTGCTGCTGCTGCTCTCACTGTTGCTGTCACTGTTGCCACCCATGCTACCCCCGTCACTCCGATTGGTCCCCAAGGGCGACACCCAGTAAGCAGGCGGCATGACCCACACGTGTATGCTGCACTCCTCCCCTTGCATGCACCCACTGCATCCCCTGCCGCCCACCACCACTCCCCTTCCTCCTGCTGCTGCTGCCGGGGCTGCTGCGGTTGCTGCTGTTGCTCCTCCTGATGTGGTGCGGCTGACTAGGGCATCTGCGGAGGATTGGGGTTGAGGGGTTGGGGGCACATCGGAGTGATTGCTTTTAGCACCTCTCTCTCAACTGCCCCTGCCCCTCGCACCACTGTTGCTGCTGCTGCTGCCGCCGCCGCTGCTGTTGCTGCTTGGACGTGCACGTGTGACCTAAACACAATGCTTGGAGTAGGCATGCCCCAGTCGCACGCTTTACATCATACAATATTTACATGATTCACGTTCCACATCATACATGCTTCACATCATGCACGCTTCGCATCGAACATGATTTCACATCATGCACGCTTCGCATCACACAGATTCACATCATGCGCGCTTCACATCATACAGCGGGGGGGCGCAGCAACGGGAGGAGGGAGCAGCGGGGGTAGGCGGCAGCGGGGGAAGGGAGCAGGGAGAGGGGGGGAAGGGGCAGCGGGGTGGGGGACAGCGAGGGGGGGGTGTACCTGAGGACCAGCAGACGTATTGAGACGCATCCTCTGGAAGCCGTGTTGACTCCTTGGCCGTGAGTCGCGGCACCTCGGGATTGTTGGCTCTGCTCAGATCTGACTCGCCGCTGCCTGCCTGCCACGAAGAACGGCAAACGGCTTTTGAGTCGACGCAAAACTTTGCTAAGATCCTACTCGTGGCAGGCAGGATCCGCACAACTCGCCGCGGTGACTTTTGGGTAGACTCAAGAGTCACCTCGGAAATGTCGGCTCTGCTCAGATACGACTAGCCGCTGCCTGCCGGCCAGGAGAAACGGCAAACGATTGGCACGCTCGGCTACTTAGCACGTGTATCGGATGAAAAGAAGTTATCCACCCGCGGCCAAGTTGAGCGTTAACGCAAGGGAACGCGCAAGAGTGAAGGCGAAGGTGCGTCGGCGGCCAAGTCGAGACGCAGCCGGGCGTCTCGATGACAGATCAGCAGCGCACAGGTGGCAGGCATTAATTGGGAGTGCTTTGCATTGCATGGCGCACCTGCTGAATGGCCATGTCAGACGCGAGGGCTCCTGAACCCGGGGTCTGGCTGAGCAGTGTGGAGTCGGCGGGCTGGGGAGGTACGGGCTTGGGACTGCATGATGACGGAGGTACGGGGGCGAATCGATACAAGCAGCGGCGCGCACCTGCTGAATGGCGATGTCAGACGCGAGGGGACCTGGTTCCGGAAACTGGTCGAGCGGCGTGGAGGCGGCGGGCTCGGGAGGTATTTGCATGAAGGTGAACTGGCGAGTCAGCTCGAGCAGCAGCGGCGCGCACACGAGCAGCAGCACGACGAACCCGCCAATGATACCTATCGACAGCCATTGGTGACGGACTCTTGCGCGCCAATCCGTATCCACAGCCATGGCTGACTGGCTCTTGCGCGGGTCATGCGGGGAGCCGGAGCGACTACCGCAAATGCTCAAAAACGCCCTGAGCGGGAGATGCGCGGAGCAGGAGCGGGACGGTCAGTACGGGGGACGCCTGCAGGTCTATAGCTTGGGCTTATTTTAACGCCCAAGCATCCGTTCTGGCTTGACAATTAGAGTGTTCGCGTTGCGAGTTGGCTCCTAGGACGGCATTACCCAGACGAGCCACACATGACCGGCTGGGCTTGATCGGCCCCCCGCATTCGAGAGGGATAGCACACACGACCTTCGCGTGCGACCAGGGCTCGCTTTTCGTTTGAAGGCACTCTTCCAAAAAAGAGTGACATCCGCGCGCCCCTCGGCTGGGCCGAGTGGCGCGCCGGGTAATGGCCGGGTAAATATGTCTATTCACTTATTTTAGGCCGTGTAAGGTACTGGAGCTTCTGGAGCTGGAGGTGCTGCTGGGGCTGGAGCTACTGGAGGTGCTGGAGCCGCTGGTTCCGGAGGTGCTTGTACTGGAGGTACTGGTGCTGCTGGAGCTGGAGGTCCTGCTGGAGCTGGAGGTGCTGCTGTAGCTGGAGCTGCTGGAGTTACTGGAGCTACTGGAGCTGGTGATACTCTAGGCGTTGGAGCTGGAGACCCTGCAGCTGGAGGTGCTGGCCCTGGGGGTGCTGGTGCTGTCGGTGCTGGTTCTGGAGGCACTGTGCGGCCGCGACCGTACTTCATTTCACTGCTTCAGCATGTTCTTTGTGTCCCGCCTTCAACTGGCCTTACTCCTCCCTTACTGTGTCCACCGCCTGACCTGTCACAGCCACAACTACTGCCAGCCTCCCCACTGCCGGCTCCTTCTCCTTACACTGAGCAGCCCGGAGGTCTTATAGAGCGTCGTGAGCTTCCGTCTCGTCCTTCCTCGCCTGTTCGCGATGTTCGCACTGGTCGTCGTGTTCCGCGTCAGCGTCCTCCTCTTGTCCCCGGCACGCACCAGATGGCACTTCGTCCTTCCTCTGTTCGATTGCGTGTCCCTCTACATTCTCCTCCTACGTCCTCCCTTGCTGACGGTCCGGACCCGGAGTCAGACTCACTTCGTGCTGCCAGCCCTACTGTCAAGCATCTGCTAGCTACTATTGTCACTGACCCTTCATCTGAGTCCACTGCTGCGTCTGCCTTAGTTGCTGAGCTTGTCGACTTTGCTGCTCGCTATCGTCTCGACTACGCCACTAGTCTTGTTGCTGAGTCCGAGTCTGTCTGTCCTCCGTCCGTCGGGGGTGGGTGCGCTCTTGGCACAGACGTCCTTGAGGACATGCTGGAGGACTTTGAATGTTTTGCAGCTGCTGTACCCCATCTCGTGTCCATGCTGATTGCACCTGAGGGAGACCCGGATGCACCAGACATCCCGACCCCGCGCTCATACGCAGAGGCGATTGAGGGTCCCTACTCCTCTCAGTGGCAGTCAGCCATGGACGCAGAGATGGCATCCTGGAAGTCCACATGCACTTACGTCGACGAGGTTCCCCCACCTGGGGCGAACATTGTCAGTGGCATGTGGATTTTCAGGGTGAAGCGGCCCCCGGGTTCTCCGCCTGTCTTCAAGGCGCGTTACGTTGCACGAGGCTTCAGTCAGCGAGAAGGAGTTGACTTCTTCCAGACCTTCTCCCCTACCCCGAAGATGACCACTCTTCGGGTTCTGCTGCACGTCGCTGCTCACCGTGACTACGAGCTTCACTCTCTTGACTTCAGCACAGCTTTCCTACAGGGCAGCCTGCACGAGGAGATCTGGCTGCGCCGCCCACCTGGCTTCACTGGGTCGTTTCCTCCTGGTACCCAGTGGAGCCTCCGGCGGCCAGTCTACGGTCTCCGCCAGGCGCCTCGCGAATGGCAGGAAACACTGAGGACGACGCTTACGGCTCCTTCGACTGCTGACCCGTCGCTGTTTCTACGCACCGTCACTTCGCTGCCGCCGTTCTGCATCATCGTGTACGTCGACGACTTGGTCTTTGCCACTGCTGACACTGCTGGACTGGGCCCACGTGAAGTCGGAGCTGCAGAAGAGACACACGTGCACTGACCTGGGTGAGCTGCGCAGCTATCTTGGCTTGCAGATCATGCGGGACAGAGCACAGCGCACCATTACCTTGACTCAGTCACACATGGTGCAGCAGGTCCTTCAGCGCTTCGACTTCCAGTACTCCTCGCCACAGTCCACTCCTCTGCCTACCGGTCACTCGCTCTCAGCTTTGCCTTAGGATGAGTCCGTAGAGCCGAGTGGCCCGTATCCAGAGCTTGTGGGCTGCCTCATGTACCTGATGACCTTCACTCGACCTGACCTTGCTTACCCTCTTAAGCATCCTGGCACGCTACGTTGCGCCCGGGAGGCACCGACCAGAGCACTGGAAGGCCGCTAAGAGGGTGATGCGCTACTTGTGCAGTACGTCGGGCATGGGGCTCGTGCTTGGAGGACGGGCTCGAGTTGTCCTCACTGGTCACGCAGACGCTTCTTGGGTTGACGACTTGGCTACGCAGCGGTCGTCACAGGGTTACACCTTCAGTCTTGGCTCCGGCTCAAGAGCGACTTTGGAGAGCCGCCTCGTTCTCCTCCAATTCTGTACGGGCTGTAACGGCGGCGCAGCGGGGGCTACAGTAGACGAGTGACACTAGGGCAGTAGCAGCGGCCGGTAGCAGCAACAGCGGCAGTGGCTAGCACCAGTGGCAGCATCAGCATGCAGTAGTGGCAGCAGCTGCAGCTGGCAGTGGCGGTTGTAGTGGCGGCAGCAGGCAGAAGCAACAGCGGCTGTAGCAGCATAGCAGCAGCAAGCGCAGTGACGGCACCAGCTGTATCGGCAGTAGCAGCGGCTGTAGCTCCAGTGGCGGCAAGGTGCAAAATCAGCAGTGGCAGAAGCAGCAGGCACAGCAGTAGCTGTGGCTGTAGCAGCTGGAGCAGGCGGCAGCAACGGCTGTAGTAGCAGCAGCACATTGGTGGCAGCGGCTGTAGCAGTGGCTGCAACTGAAGCAGGCTGGCAGTGTCTGAAGGGCAGCAGCGCCTACAGTGAGGGCGGCGCGTAGCAGCAAGGGGCGGGCGGCAGCAAGGAACATGCGGCAGCAAGGAGCACGCAGCAGCAAGGGGCGACGCGCAGGGCAGCGGGGCAGCGGGGGTGGGGGGGGGGGAGGTGGGGGTCGGTCGCGAGGCAGCAGTTGTTAAGCGACAGCGTGTCGGTGAGCAGCGGGGCAGCAGGTCACGCAATGAAGGCGCGGGGCAACGGGGCAGCGGAGGCAACGGGGTGCGCGTCGCGCATGTGGCAGCGGGGCAGTGGGGGGGTGCTCACGTTGCGCGCGCAGGGCTGCGGGGCAAGGGGGCTCTCATTTACCAGTACATAAATTCATACAGACTTCCGCTGCAACACTATAGTCAAGGACTAGACTTTCGAAGATCCTAAGGTCTTTGTTCAGCCCAGCAGTGCCTAGTTAAAATGGGTTCGTAGAAGCGGTCGTAAACATATTTAGGTGGTAAATGATTTTTGGCGCTCGGAATAACTTTCCCTAAATCTCTACAGTTAGGGTACCTTACATTCACGACGTGACATGTCCAGAAAGAAAGTGTTGTCAAACTGTGTTTGTATATCTGTAGGCTGTAGTGGGGTAGCCTCTACTGAGTAGAACACTTTAGGGTTAGACCTAGTACTTGTACTCATCTCATGCTACTACTCCATCATTCTTCCCTGCTAGTTCCGACATGGTATTCACAGCAGCTCCATACGTAGGACCACTCGTTTAGGGCCCACCGTTAGTTCTGTTCTGCCCGTTTTTTCTGCGCCCCTATTGATGCCCGTTTTCTGCTCATAGGGGGCCCCCCCGTCCTACCCAAATCGCGCCCCTTGGCACGTTGTTTTTCCTGCCCGAATTGCGGCCCTAGGCGAGCCGTTTTTCCTGCCCGAATCGCGCCCCTAGGCAAGCCGTTTTTCCTGCCCGAATCGCGCCCCTAGGCGAGCCGCTTTTCCTGGCCGAATCGTGCCCCTAGGCGAGCCGTTTTCCCGTGCGCTCTGCAGCCTGCGCGCCCGTGCACACTGCAGCCCGCGCGCTACCTTGCCCTGCAGCCCGCGCGCTGCCCTGACCTGCTGCTCGCACGCCCTGCAACCCAAGCGCTGCCCTGCCCGCGCAGCCCTGCAGCCCGCGCGCCGCCCTGCCCTGCAGCTCGCGTGCTGCCCTGCTCTGCAGCCTGCGCGCTGCCCTGCCTTGCAGCTCGCGCGCTGCCCTTCCCTTCAGCCCACACGCCGCCCTGCCCTGCAGCCCGCGGGCCTCCCAACCCTGCAGCCCGCAAGCTGCCCTGCCCTACAGCCCACGCGCTGCCGTGCAGCCTACGCGTTGCCCTGCCCTGCAGCCCGCGCGCCCTGCATCCGCCCTGCAGCCCGCGTGCACTGCAGCTCGTGTTGCCCCATGCGCCTTGCTGCCCGTGTGCCCTGCTGCTCGCGCGCCCCGCTGCCCGCACGCCCTATTGCCCGTGCGCGCTCTGCTGCCCACGCACCGTACTGACCTCTACAGCCACTCCTATAGTCACTACTACTGTTGCAGCCACAGCACGTGCCACTATAGCGACTACCTCTACTGCTATAGCTGCAGCTACAGCAGTCGCTATTGACGCCCTTGCGTCGCTGCTACTAACTGCCACTGCCTCTCATGGCCACTATCACAGTCCTAGCAGCGTCTGGAGGTGGACAGCAGCAGCAGCAGCAGCGTCAGCCGGAGACTATCGCCGCAGCAGCTTCGCGAGTGGGTTGTTCAACGAGGCCGCTCTGGTGCTGGAGCTTGGGATTTTGGAGGTGCTGGAGGTACTCGACAGCAGCGGCAGTCTCGTCGCTAGGAGACTCTCTCTCCACAGCAGCTTCGTGAGTTGGGTTATTTAGCGAGACCGCCTTTGTGGTGGAGGTTATGGTGCTGGAGGTACTGAACAGCAGTGGCAGCAGC